CGCTTCTGCATCATTCCGTAATCATTGATTGTCGGATGTCGCGAAGGCCTGGGAACCTGCAATACCGAAGGTTTGAGTTTGTTATTCTTGTTGTTTTCTGTTGTTATCACTGTGTTGTATTTAAACCAATTCCAAATCTGTGGCTTTGTATTTATAATTTCAGGTTGTTTTTGAAATGTAATTGGCTTTTCTTTATAAATAAAGTAGAGTTTTTTTCCATATGGGCAAACAATGACACTTGTCATCTTCTCATTTGTTAAATATTTTTTTAGGCTAAATTATAAGATTTTTTTTTTTGGATTTTTGTTGGCTTTTACAAATGATATGGGCTTTAATAAGTATTACTAATCCAATAAAATTAAACAAAAAATAACTTTATCACCTTCAACATTTTCTTATAATGGATGAAAGCTTCGATATCTACGGTTCATCTTCATTGCCTTCTTCGATCTCTAACGGTATTTTCTTAGTTCTCTTCTTTACTTCATCAGTTAACGCTCGATTCGTCGCCATACGTTCATATTTTACCGATTTTATCTCCGATGGAATCAACGATGGAAGTCTCGACTCTGGATGTGTTATCAAGACGGTGATCTTGGTTGAAGATAAAGAGGAAACCTGTGAACATACTTACAGGTTCGTGGCACTTGGTAAAGTGTTTTTGATTTTGTTTATGGATTTCTCATGTTCACTGCATCGATGTACCTATATGCCAAAAGTGAGCTTCTTCTCGAGATCATATCTCTTGAATCGTCGGTTGTTTGTTTTTTGTAATAAATTATGTCTTTAGCAAAAATCAGTTATACTTTTTATAATCATAAATAACTTTTTCATGCATATTTTTATTAAATGACAAAACTAATTTGTTATTAAATGAAAAAATTAACAAATCAGTTTGTGTTAAAAATCACATTTGTTATTTAATTTGTTATTAAATAAAAAAAAATTAATTTTTATTAAATAAAAAATTAACAAATCGGTCTTTGTTCAAAAAAAAATAATTATTATTTTAGTTATACATATATATTTATATTTTTAATATTTTAAAATTACGGAATAGAGATAAACTCAATAATAAATATCATATCATCTTCATATATATCACCTCATTTAAATATCTACTTTTAATAATATTTCTATTTAAAAATTTAATTTAAAAAAAATATATATATATATATATATATAATGTTATTAATAATATTTTCAGATTACATGTGTTGAGAAATTGAAAAGTACACAAAGTTACATCATAAATAAGAAAATACATCATATTCTTAAAAATAAAACATAATTAATAAATTTGCTTATGTTAATATATTTCTAATATATTAATATATTTGTAATATATATAAATAAAAAACCAATCATATAAATCAGAGATCCACGACAATAGTGTGTTTGACTTTCTCCACACCAAATCATCACGGTAATAGAAAATAAAGAATAAACACAAACAACAATATGTTCAAGTTTCAAATTTAACAATTATGAGTAAACTTTGCTCAATTTTTTGTAGTTAATGTTTGAAGCATTAACTGAAATCCACTTAAGCTAGCATACAATGTTACCACTAAATTACAATTCTCAATAAATATTTTCATTAACTCACGCATCTCAACATAAACGTTTTGTGCCATTTACATGAATATAAAAAAGATAGGGACTTCCACTACAATCCAACAACCTCTTCGAAAATCTATCTTTCAAAGTAATCAGTTATTCTCTAATATCGAAGACACCCTTAAAGAAATCCTAGGAGATATCATCCTCTGGATTAACCAATCCATAACTTCTTCCGATCATCAAAATATTTGACAAAAATCAAAACAACAATGCCAACAAAACTCTGACCTTTAAGTCACACCGTTTAAACTCTTTGCCACTAAATAATTACACTTAATGAAATAATATATCACAACTAAAAAATTTCAAATACAATTCAAAAAGATGATATTCATTCTAAACCGCTTTATCCAGTGACTTAGCTTGCCACAAGTAAACCAACTACAACGTTAATTGTAGATTAATTTTTACAATAAGATTCGCATTTTAACGATTATATTCGATAAAATAGATTCTTAATATAAAACATAAAAGAAATACATTTCGCGCGTAGCACGGATTGACTACTAGTGTTAACTAAAATTGAGTGTTTTAATTCACCATTCTCTGTTTTTTGAATTAAGAAAAAAAAAACAGAAAAGCAGGAGTTCAAGCGGAACGCATAGGTGAAGATAGTAAATAACGTATTGTTTGATCGTGGAAGGCCATTGTAGGCCTCTCTATCGACGATGTTGTCAATGCGTTGGACTTCAGAAGATATCAACCATGGCCGCAAGTGGTAGATACGCCTCTAATCCTTCACTGGCTACAACGTGGACTGAGAGATTTGCATCACCATAAAGAAGAAGACCAACCATGATTGTGACCAAGAGTTGAAAGAGTTGAGATAAAAGAAAGTAAGAGGAGTTAAATATTATTATATTACCAGAAATGGTGTTGGTAAAATGGACGTTGTTTAAGTCAAGCATTGATAAAAGAGATAACACATCCTTTTATTTCTACACAGAGAGACAAAGACACCAAAGGGAAAATCAAGTAATAAACATATTTTGATATGGCTGTCAAGCTACCACAAAAGACAAAAGTTACTGACCGAGATGTAGCAACAACCTCTGTATTTCCAATAACTGAGGCATATATACACTTTACAGGTTCCAATAAATACTCTGCTCGTACATTTCTTATTGCTCTTCTGCAAATTAAAAAGGTAGGGCGTCAACATGTTCTGGACCCTAATCCCTTTACAGAATATATGAAGACAGATATTCATACTGACCAGAGCTTCTAAATTCTCAAATCATTTTATTAATTCAACGTTTCTTAGAAGTGATTTTTGTGGCCATGGAGATACAATCAGCGCTTCTTTTCTATAGGGTAGTGCCTACAAATACAAAATGCAATGATAATATTTTTTTAGCTGAAATCATTTTTTGGCTGCACTGCTAAAAGTAATCAATAACATACAACTTAGTTTATGGTCTTCTTATACCATTCTAAAGAAAAAACTGCACTAAAGATGGCCTAGCAAGTAAATAAAATATGTTACACTACAAATATAGATAAAGAGATTTATATGTTGAAGAGTAATATATGTTACACGGTTCATCCAAATGGTCACAAAATACGGGGATGAAGCCGTTAATCACCGAGTCCTGCAATCAATTTTCACAATTCGATTCAGACGATTTCGTAGAAAAAGAAAGGAAATTTTTTTTAAGAAGCTGAGAAGAAGAGTCTAAAGTGAAAGGAAAGTTCACCTCAGAGGACCTCAATATATAAGAGTATGGATAACGCGTTAAGGGAGAGGAGGCGTATCCTCTGCATTGAATGAGTTTAGTCTTGAAGTCATGGAGTTTCAGATTCGATCACCAGAACAAGAACCGTCTTAAAGCAGAAAAAAAAGAGGGTTTGAGGGTTTTCACGCTACTCTACTGAGCCACAAATAAAAAACCCATATGAGATATACACGAACGAAATGAAGACATAAAAACATGAAAACTGTGGGATTCGAATCCACACCCTTGCTTGGCATCTCCGGAAGAAAGCTCGGGAATTGTGTTTCTTTGGGTGTTATGGCATCTCTGGAAGGTAAGAAACGAGTTAGCATTTGAAAACCGTATGATAAATCCCCTCACAACGGCAATAAGAGCTTTTGAAGATGCTTCTGTTTGGATAAATGCACTCGGTATACGTCAAGAAACGGAACTACCAATCACAAATGGTGAACAAGATAGGGGATGGATGAAACCTCATGTAGGTAGTTTTAAATGCAATATAGGATCTTCGTGGACTGGACTCAACATGCTGAGTGGGGTGGCATGGATCCTCAGGGGTTAAAACGGCAAGACACTTGTGCACAGTCGAAGGTCTTATTCATATATGCAGTCCATAACAGAGCCTGAGTTGTGGTCTATGCTATGGGCAGTGGAAAGCATGCACTCTTTACAAAAGACCAATGTAATCTTTGAAGCATCTTCAGAAGGAGCATGAGAGGTTCTAATGAATCCAACGCTTTTCCCCCAATTCTCAAGGATCATCCATGCTATCCAAAGCTACCTCGCTGAGATTGAGGTGTGGCGCCTAGATCATTGTCTGCCGGCAAGAAATGAAGCGGCTGTATCAATTTCGGTGAGTGTCACTCGCGACCGTCGCACACAAGCTTAGATTGCACAAAAGGCTCCAGTATGGCTTCACCACCTTTTGGTACTAGAAGCTGAAGACAAGTAAGGTTTCAGTGTTGTGTTCTCTATCCCTTGGTGCCTAATGGCAATGGTTTCTTTCTTTTCTTTATTAAGTTTATTTCCAATTTGTTCTATGGTTTCTTTCGAACCTATGTCTTTACTGTATGGAGAATAATGAAATTTTCATTGTTATAAAAAAAAAATTAATAATGTCAAATGGGGTCAAGAGAGTCAAACTTTGGTTTTGGGGGTTCATTACCCGAAACTTATCATCTGAGTAAGGGATTATTTATGGAGAATATACAAATAAATGACTTTTACATTTTATGGGAAGTTAGATGACCCCACTTCTTCCTTAGTGGGTCTGTCCCAGAGCACGGGCTTCCAGCCCTCAAAATTATATATTGTTTTCGGCTAACTATTTTCAAATGTTTCATTAGTCTAGTGGTATTATAGTGAAGTTGAACCCATCATGAGTTCGAACATGGGTCTTTTTCGGCCTTTAAAGAAAAAAAAGCTTATGGTCCTTATAAAATCAAGATAGGTACTGTCTGCTCAACATACTGATGGGTTTGGTATATGTTTATTACTGAAAGAAGAGTTCCAGTTTGTGTACTTAACTGGTTTCAGGTCCATATCCCTTTTACTGAAGTTACAAGAGAGCTTCTCTAATGGGTATAAAAAATTTCATTGCCACTTTATCATTTGATCTTCCTATGCTTGGTGAAACTTTCTAGTCATTAGATACTTCTTAGTATGTTTTTTACTTCAACACATGTTCTATGTATCTACCTTAACATTTCCTTATCACAATAACATTTACAGTCCATGAAAGAAATAAAGAAAGAAAGAAAGACACTTTTATACAGTTTTAGAAAATGTACAAAAGATTCCTCTGCTCGTCCGTTTTTTTCTTTCCCTCGCGATTAAATTTGAGAAAATGTACACAATTATTCAGTACCATGTGGTGTCAGCTTTCACCACTTGTTGTTGTCAATGCATAGTAGATGGAGCTGGATGTTGTTGCGGTATTGGTGGAACCGGATAAGAAGGTACAGCATAAGGTGCAACTCCAAGATGATGAGTTCCCATTGGAGGTGGAAGCATAACAGGTGTTCCCACAGCTGAACCAATATGATCAGGTGGTGCGATGATGGGTTGTCCCAAAGGGGCACCACCATACATCCCTAATCCAGCCATTGTGTGCTGATGGGGCTGCGGCTGAGGCTGAGCTGGTCTATGCTTAACCACTTGTTGTTGTTGTCCTGTAACGGCAGGAGCTTGATTGTTCACAGAAGTAATGTCGTGAATGCTAGACCGTCTTCGATCTCGGTTCATTGAGTTAAGCCTGATAAAGTATTTTTGAGCATGACTTGCTACTTGAGTTGGTGTTCTTGTGATCACGAAGTTCCTTGAGATGCTTCTCCAATCTCCTTTCCCAAATTTTTCCAAACCCAATAGAAACAACCTTCAAGTACACAAACAAAAACAGAGCATTTGAATCTTTATTTCACTTTTATAAAAGAATTGAGGAAGAAGAAGTTGAAACCGATGCTCTTCTTGAGTCCATGGAATCCCTTTCTTCCTATCTTGTTCTTGTCTGGAACCACTTCTTCCACCGCCATTGGAGCTACTTATCCCGGAGACTCCATGGTTTGGTTTCTTCTCCGTTGATCCACCTCCTCCGGAGGAATGACAGTCTCTGTTAGCAGGAGAAGTGGCTGCAGCTTCCTCGCCGGTTCTGTGATAACGTGGCAATGGGACTTGTCCACTCTCGATTGCCTTCACATCATCCAAAAGCATTTGGTAATGTTTCTTGACTTCTTGTAATGATTTGGTCGGAACCATTGAAGCCATTTTCATCCATTGATCCTCTGTTATCTCTTCTTCTACACAATGCAACGCAATTGAGTTCTCGAATGATTTATCTTCTTCTCTGCTCCATGTCACTGCCACACTCTCCATTAGATACTGCTTCAATCTCTTTACTCTCTCTTTTTCTTTCTTCTCTTCTAATGTAGATAAATATTTGGGATATTTCCAAATATTTATTATTTATTTTATTAGTTATTTTAGATAATTATCTTTATTGTTTTAGGGTTTTATGGTTTTCATATATATAGGCTTCTTATGCCTAGAGTTGTATTCAACAGTTTTTATAATGATTTGATAAATAAAAGTCTGTTCTTAAAGAGGTTTCTATAAACCAACAGAGGTTTCTATAAACCACTGAGAAGAGTATTCTCAAACCCTAAGAGCTTTTAATTAAGCACTGTGAAGAGTATTCACAAACCCTAGTTTCCGGGTATTCTTAGAATAAACGGATCTAGTTCTATCCCTAGAAGCTTCCGCTACATCAGTTGGTATCAGAGCTGTGTTCCTTTGGTTTCTCAATCGAAGACGATTCTGGATGTCATGGTGAGTATTAGCATCTATCCTATCCTGGACGAAAGTCCTTTTGTTGAAAGAGAAGAGAACCATGAGATCTATCGAGAGATCTATGGTGATCCAATCTGTGATATATATGAAGACGATGTCCATCCTAGTGACTTTGTTTTTAAAGAGGTTTTTATAAACCACTGAGAAGAGTATTCTCAAACCCTAAGAGCTTTTAATTAAGCACTGTGAAGAGTATTCACAAACCCTAGTTTCCGAGTTTTCTTAGAATCAACGGATCTAGTTCTATCCCTAGAAGCTTCCGCTACATCATCTTCTTTGGGTTAATCGTGTGGTGGGCATGATAGTGTTTGTGAAACGTATGTGAATGGGTCAGATTCTTTGCTTTTTGGAGTTTTGTGAAATTCTTTTGTGTTTAAATTTTGTGGAAGCGCAGGATAGTAGTGGAGAATGTGTATATGCGCAGGATAATAGTGGGCATGTGCGTAGGATAAGAGGGGTTGATGGGGACTTTAACTTATTCACAAGCATTAATCAGTTGGGTTCGTTTTCTATTGTGTCACTCATAAGGGACGAGTAGGCACAAGATAAGATTCTTGTAGTTCACGACTACTCTTATTTTTCCTTTAAATTGATCTTCACTCTATACAGATTTGGTCATTTATAATGATGTTTTAATACTGGGAAGTTTCTATAAAGTAGTATCTGTAAATTTTGTGCTTAAAACCACAGCATGTGATATTAGTTTTGATCTAAACATTATTTGCTCATGTGGCTTTTAAGCTTTGTCTATAGTGTTTTTCAAGCTAAATTAATAACAGTTGGTCACAACCTATGTGGCACAGAAGCTTCATCGAACACGTGCGTTTCCCGCTTCGGAACAAGAATCAAAATCGAAACCTTGTAGAAGCTTATGAAATCTCGATTCCAAATCACTTCTAATACAACATATATTAAAAACACGTTGGAAGCTTACAATTCCACTATGGAATCACGCTTCCAATTTTAAAAATATAATGCCATATATAAATAAATGAAATATAAAATCATTTTTTTATTTTTTATAGTATATAATAGTATATATATTGAGAATATAAATATGTAAATACTAAAATTAACACTATAAATCATATGTATGCATTGTTTTTATTAGAGATATAGCATATATATTCAAATAGGTTGTGCCAATTATTTATAAAATGTTAAAAATAACTAAATGATAATATTTGTTTGTAAACTTAATTTATCTATATTTTCACAACATAATAATATGCAATCATTTAAAATTATAATAAATGAATAAATGCTTTATTTTAAATTAGAATCATATAGTTCTTAGTTATAAATTTTATATTTTTTTTTGTATTTTCATATATACATATATAGATTAATATTTGGATATACGCTTTCAACACGTACCTGCTTTCTAATTCTTTTAAAAAATTTGATTTCGCGTTTTCATACGATTTCGCTTCCTCACATCTACTTCCGTTTCTATGTAACATAACTTCGGAACTTGAGGTCTAGATTGGGAAGTAAAAGTTGATTTAGGTCTATTTAAGGTTATTTCTCAAAAATAAATGAGTTACTCTATTTATAGAGACCATTTTATTTTTTACTCTATTGTAGAATAAAAAGAAAGTAAGATTGGACTATTTTTACTCCAAACTATATTTTAATGTGAAAATAGAGTATAGTTGGAGATCGTCAAGAGATGATCTTTGATCATCTCGAATGGATTGCTCTATTTAAAAAAATATAGTAACTCTATAACAGAGTTGAGTTCAACTCAAATACTATTCTATTTTAGAGTGGAAAATAGAGAATGAAAAAAAAAAGAAATGGATTACTCTATTTATAGCATCTCGAGATTCACTTTATTTTCTACTATAAACTATACTATAGAGTAAAACCTTCTCAAATCTCACTCAAGTTTTCACTCTAAAATAGAATAACTGGTAAGATTATTCAATATTTGGAATTGGAATAACTCTATTTTTTAGTATATTACAGTGTGGAACTTTGTTATTTATCCTCTAAAATTTAATCTTTTTATTTTGTAATTCTCTATGTAATTTAATTATGCAAATAACACATAATTATGTTCAATTCAATACAATATTGTAAGCTTATTATTATTTTCCGTATAACACTTATATGACATATAATTTGTTTATCAAATTTAAAGTAAGAATTTTTTTAAATAAAACACTAAAAGCATATATAATTTTATAAGATTAGTTAAATAAAAGAATTACTAAATTTAAAAATAAGCAACATTACATAAAATTAAAACCATAGATAATAGTGAATAAATATTCTGATAAATTTCATCAAGGTCCAACAAGATCGTTAAAATATTGTCCAAATGAGGTAGATAGAGTAGGAGCTTCTTGTTTATGTTGTTGACAATGCCTTTTTTTTTGTAAAATTTGTATTCATTTCTTGAAAATATGCATGAACATCTGGATCTTGCACTGAATTCATGTCAGAATAAATATTCGGTTTCTTCCTTCAGGTCACTTAGAGCATAATTCTTCTTTTAATCTCCCAATATTATTCTCATTGTGCGCTTGTCTTCTTTAGTTGCTCTAAAAATAACTTATTTCGTTTTTAAGGTGTTTATAACCGATGTTGTTTGATCAACAATTTTTTATTTTATTTTTGATTTCTTTATTCTGTTTGGGTGTGGGGAGAAAGATCCGCCGATATTCCCATCGCCATCACTTTAAATTTATAAAAATGTGTTACATGATATTATGACTACATGTATAATCCTACACAATATGATAATCGAGGAAAGAATGTGATCTTAATGTACCAATTAAAGAGGGAAAAGCAGCTTCACCTCTAGAGGTTCAAATACCATAGAATGATTTGGTTTGAAGAGTTTCTTGATTGATTTAGAGAAATCAAAGATAAAGAAGCTAATTTCTCATTTTGAAATTCGTTAATTGATCATTTGTGGAAAATATACACTAAGGGTGATGCTTACGGTAAAATAAAATGTAATTTTTAATATAATAATTGTTTGATATAAAATATCATAATTTATGAAACAATATTGTGGAAATAAAATATAAGGGATCACTTTCTAATTTTTGTAAATTAAAGGCATTACTCATAAAATAGAAAAAAATATTTGTAAAAAAGATTACTTTTTAAAGTCATAGAATAGGTTGTTGGAGAGAAACTCAACTCTATTTTTTCTACTACTCTAAAATAGTGGAAACAAGGGATCACTCTATTTAACAAAAAAAACAAATATAGTAACTCCATAATAGTGTTGAGTTATACTCCAATGCTACTCTAGTTTATAGTAAAAAAATAGATTGATGAACAAGAAATAAATTAGTTACTCTTTTTATAGAATAAACCCCATTTTTACTTTATTATAGAGTGAAAATAGAATATAGTTTGAGCTATTTTGCTCCAAACTATATTTTATCCGGTGGAGGCTTCAAATCTGCTCAGCGTTGAAACTACGGTGCTTTGCAAAAGAGTTCTGCTCAGTTGCAGGAGATGGGAACCCCTTCCGACTACATTTCAGGTGTACCCTTCGTCCTTATTCCTGATGAGAATATTGAAGCTTCTAAATTAGAGTTCAAGGATTTTTTTTACGCACGATTTCATGGTGACTATCGCACTATGGGGAAAATTATCGGTGTCATAAATGCACTTTGGGCTCAAACTGGTCCTTGGATCTTTGTCCATAACATTGGACAAGGTATGTACCTTCTCTAAGTCACAAACCCACGAACTCATGAGGTGCTCTTGTCTCGCACTTGCTTGAACTCAAAATTATAAATATAAACACTAAAATATTGTATTCAGCATCCTTGATGTTCATACTTTAGTTCCAGATCTTAAACTGAAATTACAAATTTAGTTATTTGCAAAATTTAATCTCAAAATCCTAAAACCAACCTTTAAAATTATTTTTCACAACCCTAAAACTCTACATCCAAATCATAATCTCAATATTATCTAATATTTTTCAAACTTAAGCACCAAACTTTAGTATAAACATGCAATTTATTATTTTCAAAAATAAACTTAAATCTTACCTTAACTCCAAACCCCACATATTTAAATTTATAAGTTAAACTTCAAATTTAATACTCTCTACTTAAATTTAAAATCTTAAGGAATTATCTCTACACGCAAATTTTCAAAATAATACAAATCTTAAACCACACCCTCTTTTTACTAAAACACTCTAATATAAATATTACTCTTAAACTTTATTCAATAATCTAATTTTACTCTAAATCTCAAATCCCATGCTCAAAGCTTTAAATCATAGCACTAAAATATAATTAATTATAAACTCAAATACATAAATTTTATATCCTAAAACTAACCTCTAGCTAACACTATACTTCAATCCCTAAACTCTAAACGTATACTCTATATCGAAAGCATAATCTTTAATATGTTTTTAAACTTATACAACAAAACTATATTTCTTAAACCCTTAACTTCATTTATTTTATTCTAACTCTGGATTTTAATTTCAAATGTTAAACTTAAAACCTATGCTATATATTGTAAACCCTCTCTATTTTATACCCAAATATCAATAACAAAGTTTAACTTTTAA